AGGGCTGAGCTGGGTTCTGGGATGGAACAACCCCCTGCAATTTTCCCAGGAGAAAACCCAGGACACTGGCACAAACTTCTTTAAGCTTTTTTKGTACATTTGAATCCAGATCATTTTTGTACAGGAGCATTTGAGAATCAAACATAGATTCCTGAAGTTTGGGGCCACCTGTTTCCTCCAGTACAGCAATGTCCTGGTCCATGCCTGGGAAACACTGGGCAGCACTGCCACGCAAATTACAAGGAAATTGTTTTAGTGTTTCTGAAAACCTTCCCCACTCCCACATTTCCCATAAACCACAAAGAAGGAGAAGTTCAGAATTTGGGCTGCAGTCTRGAAACAAAGGTTGCAGCCTGTGCATTGCTTGGCTCTGGAGCCTGGGGCAATGCAGGCAGGGCTCTGTTCTCACAGCAGAGCACTGGGACATGGCCTGACCCCTCTGATCCCTCCTTCCAGGTTCGCTGGGGAGAAAAGGGCTCCACGGAAGAAGGTGCTAAGTTAGARAAGGCCAAGAACGCCAGGGTGAAGATGCCAGAGCAAGAGTACGAGTTTCCTGAGCCCAGGAACCTCGGCAGCAGCATGCGCAGACCCTCGTCCCCTCGCAAGTGGTACTCGCCCATCAAGGTGAGYGCAGCCCTGCCTGGCTGGGAGCAGGAGATGTGTTTGTTATCCTGATCAGARCCTGATCTCCAGTGCTGCTGGAGAAGCTGTGTGTGAAACATTGGGAATTGCCACCTGGCTGCTCAGGTTTGGGGTTGCGTTGCTTCTCAGAACAGAACAGGATCCTGATCTCTTCCTGGGGCGTAGAAGCTTCTGGGGAGTTGCTCAGGGTGCAAAGGTCCACACTGCACATTCCTTGAGGTGTAGGAAATAAACAGGATCTTTTCCAAAAATGATTAAGGGTCTGGAGCATGTCTCTTGTGAGGAGAGACTGTGGGAGCTGGGTCTGTTCAGTGTGGAGAAGATTGAGAGGGGGTCTCATTAATGCATATAAATGAAAAATAAAAATTAATATAAATAAAAAATAAAAAATAAAATGTCTGGTACCATCCTCTGACAATTTTGAGATAAATATCTCAAAATTGTCAGAGGATGGTACCAGACATTTTACAGTGGTGCCCAGTGACAGGACAGGGAGCAATGGCCATAAATTAAACACAAGATTTTATTTCAGCATGAGGAAGAACTTCTTTTCATGGASGGTGGAAGAGCCCTGGAACAGCTGCCCAGGCAGGGTCTGGAGCCTCCCTTTCTGGAGACATCCTGAATGGGTCCCTGGACTGGATGATCTCCAGAGGTGCCTTCCAACCCAACAGTTCTGTGATTCTTTCCTTTAAAAAAAAGGGAAAAAGTAGGAAGAAAATTGCTGCTGGATRTCTCCAGGATGGGTTGAATCTCGTGGATGAGAGGAGCAAACCATGCAGACATATAATGAATTGCATCACTCAGACGTGTTATAAGGGCACTCCAGTGTCAGAAAGCTGATCTCTTGCATCCAGGACAAATTCAGCTGTTCTCAGGAAGGGAGGGCAGCTTAATGACTGTATGACATCTCTAATGAACAGGAAAAAATTAATTCCACATTCCTGTTTCTCAAGTTTAAYTCCTTTGGGAAATGATGACACCACTCCTCAGTCCAGCATATTTGTAGTTATCAGGTTCAGAAAAGACTGAAAACAGCCAAATCATATCCAAGTGCAAACCTGGCATCTCTGGAGTTTGGATCTGAAGAGCAGAGGTGTTGGTTTAGGGTCTCAAATTCCCTCCACAGGCACAGAGGGTGTGTGTAACACATACAGTAAATATTTCAGTGTATAGAGCCTGCCTTAAACTTGATACTGGGGAATGAGAAAGAGCCTCTCTGATGGAAAACAGAGGCTTGACTGTCCTGTTTCCTTCCTGCCCAGCAGCAGCCAGGGGAGGCTGAGAGGTGTTGTGAGGCAGGCTGGAGATGTCCCACCCTGCACAGACCTGCTCCAGGATGTGCCCATGGGAACAGGAGCAGCCTCATGTTTTTGGCTCTCCTCAATCACTGATCATGGGGTGGGGATGGCAGGGATGCTGAGGGAGTCAGGGTGGTTTCTGAAGGATCTGGAAACGTGAACCTCCTTGAAAACTTGGTCCAGCGCCTTCTCTCTTTTCCCCCTGCAACATTATCATCTCATAAACAGAGCCTCCCAACAAGTCCTTTGCACTTGTGCTGTAATGACTCCAGGAAGGTTGTTGATCCCCATGGTGGGACAGGATGGAGCYGACAGTCCCAGCTCTGGGTGGGGAGGGCAGCACACACCGATCCACAGAGCTGCCCTCTGCTCCTCAAGGAGCTGCACTATCCCTTTGCATCAGAAAATTCAGAAAATTCAGAAAATCATTTCCCTTTGCACTTGGAAAACACACCAGGCTCACCTGGCAGGTTGTCCTTGCTTCTGGAAGTGACTTCAGCCAGCCAAAAGATTGCATGGTTGGCTTTTGCAACTGAGCTGACAGAAACACTGATTTTAGGACAAAGAGCCCCAAATACYTGTTCAGACAGCTGGAACCATGTGGGTGCAGTTCCCTGAGCTCATTCCTCGAGAGCTGCATCCTTTCCTRCAGGAGATGCTGCTGAGCTTCTCCCCTTCCCCAGCTGATGCTGTTGGATCACAGCCCCAGGAGACTTTCAGTGATTTTCAGGATTTATTCTGCATGATGGGATATCAGCTCTGGAAAGAGGAACTGGGTTTGTTGCAGATCTGTGTCCAGGATGGAAATTCGCCAAAGTTCAAGAGAGGCTTGGAGAGAAGATTCAATGTATGTAGGGCTGAGGTTCAGTTCTGACTCTGGAACAGCTTTTGCTTCATAACAACAAGAATTCAGTAATAAGGTCACCTACAAATATTACCAGCATCTCATGGGTGATGTATGTTCTTAATTCCTTTAGAAATGTCTCTTATCTACCATTTCAATTGTATTCAGGATAAGGACAGTTTCAATCCAGTATCCAAATACTCCCAAAGCTTTGGAGTGTTCCACATCTGGATAGTATTTAGCATCCTGGACAAGAATTTACCTAATTATTAATTGCCACCACACCCCTTACTGAGCTGCACCCAAARTGTGGATGGAGACAGGATAACTGTCTCCAGCACTTTCCTGGATRGACATCATCAGCACTCCACAAACCCAGGAAGGATCATTCCCATGGAGCAGAGTCCTGCTGTTGCTCTCCCTGGGCAATAAGGAATTAGYAAAATTGGCACAATTCATCAGCAGTCTTGGCAGAAAGCCTCGTCCTGGAGGTGTGAGTGTGGAAGATGRATTTGCAGGGAAGCTCTCCCGGAGCCGTGGCAGGCAGGGAAGGTGGGAACAGCCTGGGAGTGGACCCTSAGCCTGGAATGGCTGGAATCCATCCTGCTTTGTCCACTCTGGGGTTTAAAATAACAGAGAGGCTCCTGCCACTTCTTGGGGGGAATATTTCACAGGCTCACAGACCTCATCCACTGCAAATGTCTCCTGATACTCAGCTTGAATTTTGCCTCATCCCCATGCTCCAAGTGCTCCGTGGTTACAGCAGATGTTTCATTTCCACCCCATCCCCTGGGCTGGCTGAAGCCCCCTTTGGGAAGCAGATAAATATGTCTGTAACAAGCTGGTTAAAAAACTTGTGGGTAAAGGAGAAGGCAAGGGATTAAACTTCAGAAGCAGTGAAACAAGGGTCCTTGAATCTGACAAAGAGCCAGGAAATTCACATTTTAGGACCAGTTATCATGCTGCCCACAGGCCTCCTCTTCACACTGCACAAGTRCCAGCCCCTRCTAAGAATGTTCTGCCTTTTATGAWRAAGTTCTTCTTCCCTCTWTWTTTCAGTCTTCCCAGAGTCATGTCTACAAGTAGGTAGACAGCTGAGAGTGGATAGATTGTTTTTTTTWAATTCTCCAGAGATTTATTTGCTACCAAATGTGGCTACTGACACTTAACAATTGGGGTTATTATTGTTGTTATTCTGATTTGCTGCTGTTACTTCTTAGCACTGTGCCARCTGAATTATCCTGCTTTTAAAATGTCATTTCAACTGCTTGAAAAGTCAGTGCAGATAATCCAAGGGGAATGACAAATCCAAAAACTTCTTAAGAAACTCGCCAAATCCTTGGTTCATCTGACAGGGAGGGGCAGCACAAAACGTRGATGGAAGTGAATCAGAGAGTCATGGAATCATTAAGGTTGGRAAAGCTCTCCAAGATCATCAAGTCCAATCATCCATCCAGCACAAGCACCATGTTCAACCTTAAACCATGTCCTTGAGCCACATCCACACGTTTTTCCAACMCTTCCAGGAATGGTGGCTCCACCACTGCCCTGGGCAGCTGTGCCAAGGCTTTACAACACTTGCAGTGAAGAAATTTTTCCCAATATCCAGCATAAACCTTCTCTGGCCATTTTGTTTCATCCTGCCACTCATTACTGGGAGCAAGAGACTGACCTGGCTACAGCCCACAGCTGAAGCAACAATGGTGCTCTCAAAAGAAAACCTCAGGTGACCCCTGCTAGGAGGCAACTCCAGCATCTCCTGGGTCTGGTTTTCCTGGCACCTTCCCCAGCCTTTGTCCCTCCTGTCTCTGTTCACAAACTGCCATGGCACAGTGGCCTTGCCAGGGAGGCCCAAGTGCAGCTTGGGTTTATAAACTGGTGCAAAATTGCGTCTGCCTGACAGCAGCAGGCTTCAGGAGCACGGAGGTAACTCAGGGTCAGTACAGCACTGAATTAATCATGAATTCAAAAGAAATTCCACAGCTGGAACKCTGCCCTCCTTCATTTGTCATCTGCCTCGACAGTTTCTTCTCTCTGGGCTCCAGATCTTGTGGGACTCAAGKCTTTCTTTGCCTCCAGACCTTTCTCTTTTTTTCTCCATGTTTCAGCTGCTGAGGAGTTCCAGACACGGAGACASAGCCCATCCACAGAGAGCACGGGAGGTTTCTGCTTCCATTTCATTGTTTCAGCCATCATCCTTTCCATGATGCACRCTCCCTCTCTTCTACCCAAACGTCTCAGGCAGACCCTGAGGCTCCCAAAGATGGAGCTCTTGGCTTTTCCCAAGAAATCTTGGTAGGCTCTTGGAAATTAGGACTGCAGAGTAATAAGGAATTTTATTTTATTCCATGGAAAGTTGTCATCTTGCCTCTGGTTTCCTAAAGGAGAAATTGAAGACTAAGTTACTTATTTCTTAAGCTGTCAGAGTGGACAGGAGATCAAGAGCTTCAACCAGCTCTGCRGTGAGGGGAAAGGTGGATTGGAATGGAAGGGATGGTTTCCCTCAGGYCTAAGGGTTCTGCTGTCCAAATGCAAAAAGATTTGACAGAGAGGTTTCTTGCTTCTTCCCTTGAGAGTAACAGACTTTCCTGGCTCTCACCTTAGGAAGTCTTTTCCCCATATCCTATGGAAACAAATTCTGTGCATTCTACGTGTCTGCCTCCACCCATGTGTCCCTCCAGCTCCCAGAGAAGCTTTGAACCATTGGCTGCACACACTGGTTGAGGAATAGAGATCTCAAAGAGGATTATGATCCTGATGGCTCCTTGGAAAGGGAAGAGAAGGACTCTACCCCATGAAAAGGAGTGTTTAGTCAGACACCAGAGACRTGGGGTCACAAAGAACCTCCCAAACTCCCTGACTGTCAGATCTGGCCCCCRCAGACCAGGCCCTCAGGAAAATCAGCTGCCTTGCTCTGAATGAAGCTACTCCCTCTTTCCCCACCAGCTCTGCAATATCCAGCTCACATTTCCATTTGTTAATCCCGTCCCATGGTAGTTGCACCAGGCATTTCTTCAATCACAAGAGTTTTGTAGTCTTTATTTCCAGGAAAGAGTGATCAGACGGGAGTTCCTGGATCCACTCAGGAGCCGATCTTTGGGTTTGATCCTCCTATCTGCAGAAAATAATTTTGTTCCAAGAGACAACTTTGTACATTCTCAGAGTAGCTCATCTCTGTGGGTACAATGAGGTTTGCTAACAGGGATTTTACTCATGGTTGSTGCTCTAAAATTACAGCACTTGGAACATTCAGAACCCATGGAAACATTAATGAATGCTGGCTGTTGTWAACCCTCTTCAGAAATTCCACAAATCTCCGGGTATTGTGCACTTAACAGACTGAGGATCAAACAAAGTTAATGTGAAGAGGGTTTGATCAAATAATCTTGACTTGTGACACACCTGTAGCCTTGCACTGAGCAGTGTATGTATGCCCTGGTGCAAACCCTCCCRCAGCTTTCCCAGGAGCTGAGTCCTTTTGGAAAGGAAACCCTGGCCTGCTGGAATGGGRATAGAGCAGGAATCCTTCAGCAGCACATGAATGTTCCAGGGCAGGTGATTTGGTGCATGTTTCTGCATTGCAGAGCCCTGGGCAGCTCCTTCTGGCCTGGTTCAGCTTATTTGGAGGGTATCCTCAGGCCTGGCTGCTGAATTCCAGTCAGGGGTGAATATTTGTGCTGCCCTGAAGGAAAGGGCAGGGAGGCTCTGATCACACCTCAGCCAAGCTCTGCCTACAAGAGGTTTCAATCCATGGGGGTTTGAGCAGACCTCACCCAGGTCTGTTCTGGTGYACTCGTGTGTGTTTGGGTGTGTGGGGTGTGAGACCACCCAGCGAGGGGACAGTTCCAGCCCTTCAGAGTGGGACTGGAGGGTTTGGAAAGGTGATTGTTACTGCCTGAAAAAGGTGCAAGGTTGAGCTGACACATTGGGAGGGCCCGGGGAGCCTGGGTGGGACCTGTCCTGGTGGCTGCCGGGACAGATGATCTGTCTGGGGCTCAGCTCTCCTGGTAGTGCAGAGATGGGTTTGCACTCCCTTCTCCCCAGCAGACTGCTTTGAGGCATAAATCAGAATACTTTTTGCCATGTCACAGTGACCACCGAGAGCTGGAGATGAGCTGCTCAGCCAGAGCAGGAKTGCAGCAGCTCAGAAAGGCATCGCATGAGCTCACTGCTCACTGCCTGCACTGATTTAATGTTGCTGCTGTCTAAACAGCGACAAAAAAGAATAGATACAAAATACACAAAACGTGGGTGAAAAAATAGAAAAAAAGAAGGACTTTATTGTGGGATAAGTCTCTTTTATCTACTTTAGTAACTAGTATATACATTTGTGTTAAACATATATTGGTAAAGAGACAGCTGTTTAATTAGTAATCAGAACATAATTGGTGAGTTTGTAAAAGCTACAGTATTAGTAATGCTTATAATTTTCAGCTACCTGTGTTATCAATTCTATATTCTAATTTACTTTTTTCAAGGATGTGGCATTCTTCTTCTTTGTAGGCTGTCAACACTCCCTTTCTTTTCTCAGGCTTCAGTCATACACAATAATTGGCTGAGTTTCAGAATCAGGGCTTGTGGGGCCCCTTTCCTCCACAATTTACCATTCTGTTGGCAGGGCTGTCAGGAGCTGAGCAGGTGTCAGTGTCTCTCTGAGCCCAGCAGGTACCTGAGTCACACTCTGCCTTTGGAAAGGTCACACCCTGTTACCTGTCAGACATCTGAATGCTCTTCCTTTGCGCCTGCAGCRAGTTCAGAGCAAGTTTCTGTGAGAGAAAACATTGCTGTCCAGCATCTTCCACAGGCACTGAAAACCATGGAGTAAAACCTGTGGGGCCCAAGCTGCCTTGTCCCTGCACTTTGCACAGAGCATAACAAACACCCTTTCATTGTGTTCTTTCATTGCAGGGGAAGCTGGATGCTCTCTGGGTGCTGCTGCGGAAAGGATATGACCGCGTGTCCGTGATGCGTCCCCAGCCAGGAGACAAGGTACCAATGCCTCCAGACATTTCCTCACAGCAGGGAAAAGCAGCACCCCCTGACTGCCTTTACAGATGGGACTGAAGGCAGACACTCCTGATAGCTCAGGAACAAAGCCTGAGTCACATCTGTCAGCTTTGTTTGCAAACAGTTCCTGGGTTTGGCTGCTGTGATTTCCAGCAGGAGCTGTCSCAGTGCAGGGACAGAAATGTGCCCAAGGAAGAGCCCAGCACAGTSTGCTCCTGGAGCACAGAGCTGCTCTCCATCAGTTACAGGAGGATTCTAATGAATGGTGAGGGATATTGCTGTGTGTTTTGTCAGGACCCGAGGGAACRGCTGGAGCTGAGTCAGGGCAGGGTTAGGGTGGATCTCAGGGAAAGGTTCTTCCCCCAGAGGGTGCTGGGCACTGCCCAGGCTCCCCAGGGAATGGGCACAGCCCCAAGGCTGCCAGAGCTCCAGGAGCATTTGGAACACACTCTGGGACAGGGTGGGAGTGTTGGGGTGCCTGTGCAGGGCCAGGGGCTGGATTGATGATCCCAGAGCGTCCCTTCCAGCTCAGGATATTCTGTGACCCTGTGATTTTTGTTCATTAAATTCCCCTCATGGTGGAAAATGTCAGTTAGATTAATGTTTTATGCAGTCAGTCACACGCCCCTGACATGAATCAACAAAGAGATTGGAGTTGTTCCAGGAATATATTTGTCCCAAAGTGTAAGTAACTGCAGCACTGTGAAGGCTTCAAGAGATTCAACTGCACATGAAACAACAATGTGCTTTTCTGGTGGAGAATCACAGGCCTGTAGCATTTGGTTCCCTGTGGGCGTTTTTATTGAATACAGGACCTTTTTGTGAATTAAAAGGTTTAATATTTTATTCCTTCCCAGGGAAGGTTTGCTAAGATGTCTTCAATGATTCTGATTTCTGGGAGAAAAGTTGGAAACATACAGATTGCTGGTGCCTGGCAATTCTGCCTCAGAAATCAGGGCTTGAAGAATGCCTATTCTGTGAATCAATTTTTTGACTCAACAAGCTAAAATTATTTMTATGACAGATGCCACTTCCATTTATGCTGGGGAGAATCCAGAGCAGTGTAACCCTCACAGTTGGCAATGGTTTCTYCTGGTGCAGCTGACAGAGGCTCCAGCCTTCATGGTGACACATCCTTGGGCTCACCCTTCTGTTCTGGTGCACAAGCACCAGCAGAATCAGCCCACCCAAGTGTGATGTGACCCAGCCTTGGAGTCAGTTCAGCCCTTTATGATTGAGCTGTGCTGTGAAGGATCTCTGACCTGGGCACAGCCTCATTTAGTGGGAAAGAGGAGCTGGCTGAAAGTGCACCCAGACTTRGAGCTCCTGCAATACTTGTTTCTCTCCAGGTGACTCCTTTGTTTGGCCACTTCCCTGTGTAGGTATGAAGCACTTCCAGGCCCTTCTGCAAGGTTTTCCTCTGTGTTAACAAAACTAAAAGCTGAGTGTTTGGCTGCTTTGAATAATGGTGTGTCAGAGAGTATCAAGCCCCTTGTTGTTGATCCCTGTCAGGTTTCAGTGAGCAGTTTGTGTTCATCCCTTCCCAGCAGTGACACARCTCCCAGGTGGTGKCACCCCCAAGAGCACAGGMAAAACCAMTCTGAGAACTCACTGGAAAACACTCAAATGGTTTTCATTAGTTTACACATCTGAATTAGTTCAGGTTTTCCCCTTTCCTATTCAGCAAAAATGTGTGGGTTTTGTTTCCCTACTTCAGATTTAGGCTAAGAAGAAGCATTCAGCTCACAGGAGCTGGGTTCAGCTGCATGATTTCTGAGTCATCTCCCATCTTGATACAGACATTCCCATGATTTGGATGGTTGTTTTAGGCTGTCCTACTTCACTTTCTCCTAGAAGGGGATTTTACTGGGCATTAGAAAGGTTGGCTTTACAGAAATRGAGAGCTCTGTTCAAGGGACCAAGAAGGAATGAGGCAATACTGCTGTTTACTGAGCTGCCAAAARCTACTATTTTGCCTTGGGAGCCAAATTAGGCAGAAAGAAGAGCAAAAGGTTGCAAAAATACCAGCAAAATTTGCACCTCACAGAACAAGGAGACTCTCAGCCCTACTGGATCCCTGCCAGATCTCTCTTGTCTCCTCTGTGCCACTGTTCCTCTAAGAGAAATTTAAATGCATGTCCAACCTTCAGACACAAAGGCTGCCTGATTCAAGGTTACTTCAAGGCTCGTGGTTTCTCCCAGGTCAGCAAACACCAAATATTATCTCATAAAACACATACCTGTTTCGCTGTGCTTGGAAATCCAGGGGAAAGGTCAGTTGAGTTGATGGGAATGGCAGCATAGAAAGACTGGTGCTGACTGCAGCTCTCAGGGCCCTCAGTGCAGAGTCCTGGGGCACCACCAGCAGCCTGCTTCCCTTGCAAGGGAAAAAACACCAAGGGAAAGAAGCAATGCCACTGAAAATCTTTATTGAAATGATACCTGTGTCTSTAGGACAGCATTTGCAAAAGAAAAGGATCACTGAAATGATGGGGGATTTCTACCTGTGCAAAAAGCTGYGTGGCCAGAATCCTCTGCCCGGGGCTGGTGTTGGTGGGCTTGGATCCAATCCCTCCATTACCTAGGAGACTTCACAGAATCACAGTGAGAGGGCCTCTGGATTGCATAAAACACAGCCCTTYCTCTGAAGCAGGTGTTTGATAATAGAAGCTTAATAAAGTGTCCATCGTTTCCTCCATCCAGCCCAGGACAGGGCTCTTGGCATCTCTCTGGCCTGGAACAACCCTCACAGCCCCAGCACTTCATCCCTTTGCCGTCCAAAGGCAGGATTTTTGTGATGGATGCACACACAGGTTCCTTGGTGGGGACATCTATTTACAGACCTAGCCATATCCCAGGAAAGCAGCTGAGCTTGTGCTGTGGCTGAGAGTGCCAGGGACTGGGGAAAGGGGGGGAAAGGGTTCTCAGTGCTCTGAGGTCTGGCACATCACCTCCTGGGTCTGACATGCAGACTGGGGCCAGTGGGCTGCATCAGCAGGTTCAGATGTTCCTGGAGCAGGATATGCTCAGGAATAGGGGCTGATTCCAGCAGAGTCAGATGTTTTTGGAGCAGGAGGTGATCAGGGACAGGGGGCTGCATCAGTTTAGGTGTTCCTGGAGCAGGAGATGCTCAGGGAGGACAGTCCCAGCTAGGCAGCCCTGCTGAATATTCTATTCATTATGGAGGGCATCAACCATGACCCAGATAACCGGCATGGGCACAGCACCAGGAAGCCCTTCTGCTTTTCAAAATAATGTTATTTGCATTAACTTGGGAGAACACCATTTAATTTTCTTCCAGGAGGATGATATGCAGAGTTCTGTGTAAGCAGGGTTCTGTTGCCTCATGCTTTGTATTGCCCCTTTATTGAAAAAGAAAGGAAAAGGCTTTAGCTATTAAAAAAAAAGTATTGTATATGAGAGAATGTTTTAAAGTTCTGTTGTGGGCCTTGAGAGGTAGAAGGTGAGCCCTGTTGAGTCTGCAGTGAGTTCTGACACAATGCACTGGAATGAAGGTGTAAAATTGCTGGGTGAATCAGTTCATGCACAKGCAGAGCTCTGGATACTCTCCCAGCCCGGAGTTCCCAGGGCAGGGCTGGCCAGGGCAGAGCTGGGAGAGGGGTTTTGGCAGTGCTGGCCCCTCTGTGCATTCCTGTGGCTGCTCCCTGTGATTCCATACAGATCCCTTGGACCAGCCTTGGTCCTCTCCAGGGTGCAAAATCTCCACTGGTGAGTCCGAGGTGTCCGAGGTATCTGAGCTGTCCGAGCTGTCTGAGGTGTCTGAGGTGTCTGAGGGCAGGTCTGCATCTGATCCTGTTCTCCTGGGAAGCAGAGCTGAAGGGGTGTCCTCCCAGCCTGGCAGCAAAGGGGCCCCTCAGATCTGGTTCTGCCAACTCCAGGCCATGCTGTGAGGACACAGATGGTTTGGAACTCCAACCCTACTGCCCAGTACAAACCTAGCCTGGCAGGGCAGAGGCTCCAGAAAGCTGCAGCAGCTGCAGCTTTGAGGTTTTGCCTCAGGGCAGGGCAGCTACAGCATCCCAGCTTCTCCCTGACTGCCCAACTTCACCCTGAGGCTGCATGGGACCAGGTCACCCATCACTCCCATCCCAGGTGCTCCCAGGGATGCTGTGCTCTGGTTTGTCTCCCTGGCAGGCACCCAGAGCAGTTCCAGACTATCAGTTCTATTTCAGTGCAGCTGCTCTGGGTCATTTCACAAGCTAAATAAACACCTTCGAGTTACTCAGCAGCAAACCAGCAGGTCCACAGTGCCAGCCCTGGACAAGCTTCCAGCTGTGGATATGCCCTGGGAATAAAAGAACCAGAAGTCAGCAGAGCATCCCACAGGAACCAGCAGCCTCAAACAGAGCCACCAGATCAAACGTGGAACCTTCTCAGGCTGGATAGATACTCAAATTCTTGTCGGTCACATGTATGTGGAGGAGCAGGAAGTGTTCATAGAGGAGCTTTTGACCATATGATATTCCTAAAAGCTACAAGGAGGAGCTGCTTTGATAGCAGTTTGTACCTCCTTCTTTCTCCTCTCTTTCCTGAAGAAAGGGAAGCAGATTTCAGACTCAGGGCTGTCRAATGGGTTCGTTAATTCACCCACTCATAAAGATAAAACAGTGAAGCCAGATGAAAAATAACTGAAAGGCATCTCTATTTGCTTTGGAGCCTCAAAAGGAGTTGGTCTGAGTCCCAGGGTTACATCATTTTCATATATAAGCAGTCCCTTGCTATAATCAGTGACTTTATCCCGTGCCAGCACATGTGCTGAGCCGTGCAGAAGATTCCTCACATACAATGAAACACGGATTCCACTTCCAGTCCCACATTGAGTAATTGTGGCTGTTTATCTGCTGCAGCCCACGCAGCTGCCAGGGATCCATGAACTTGTCAGGGAAGATGTCCCCAGCCCCGAGGTTCACATCAGCCTGGAAGCAGACAGAGCTGCAAGGGCAGTGACTAACACAGTTTATACTCACTGCAGTGGATACTGTGGAATTGAGGATTCTGGTGCTCCTGCTGCACCCTGTGACCTCAGACAGTCCCTT